GAGGAGAGGAGAGGAGGAGAGAGCTGAGAGATGAAAGAGACGAGAGAGAGAGAGTGAGAAAAAGAGAAAGAGAGAGAGAGAAAAAACAAAGAGAGAGAAGAGTCGAGAGAGGAGAGAGGAGCAAAAAAAAAAAAGAGACAAGAGACGAGAGAGAGAGACGAGAGGAGGAGAGAGAGGGGAGGCAGGGAGGAGAGAGAGACGGGAGCGAGACGGAGAGAGAGAGAGAGAAAAGAGGAAACAGAGAGAGAGAGAGAGAGAAGAAAAGAAAAGAAAAGAAAAAAAACAGAGCTACGGTCTGTAGTGAAAGGAAAGAAAGTGAAAATGGAAGGAGGGAAAAAAAGAAAAAGAAAACGAGGAGGGGGGGGGGGGAGAGAGGAGGATGAGAGAGAGAGGAGGAGGAGAGAGAGGACGGAGAGAGAAGGACGAGAGAGGAGAACGAGAGAGAGAGAGAGGAGAAAGAGGGAGAGAGAAGAGAGGAGAGGAGAGGAGATAGGAAAGAGGGAGTGACGTGAGGGAGAGAGAGGAGTAGACATGATAGCGAGAGGAGTGCGATGGAGGAGGGGGCCCGGAGACGAGGAGAGGAGAAGAAGGAGAAGAGGGAGGAGGAGAGGAAGAGAGGAGGGAGACGGATGAGGGGGAGAGGAGGGAGAGTGGGGAGAGGATGAGAGATCGAGGAGGGGAGAGGAGGAGAGAGAAGAGAGGGAGGCGAGGAGAGTGAGCGCGAGAGACGGAGGGAGAGTGCGGTGGAGGAGGAGATGGAGAGGAGGGAGATGGAGGAAGACGAGGGAGAGTGAGAGGAGAGAGATGAGAGTAGAGGAGGAGGGGACGGTCTCGAGAGAGACGCAGAGAGAGAGGGGAGGAAGAGAGAATGGGGAGAAGCGGAGAGAGGGGGAGGAGGATAGAAGAGCGAAAGAGAGAGAGAAAAAGGAGATTGCGAGAGAGATAAGAGAGAGAGAAGGGAGGAGGAGGAGGAAGAGACGAAGAGATGACTGGGAGAGGAGGAGAGGAGCCGAGAGGAGAGAGGAGTGGAAGAAGGAGGAAAGAAAATGAAAGAGAAAGAGGGATAAAGAGGAGGAGAAAAAGAAGAAAAAGAAAGAGAGCGAACGAGAGAGAATGAGAGAGGAAGAGGAAGATTGATGGGAGAAAAGAGAGAGGAGAAAGAGGAGAGAGAAACATGAAGAGAGAGGAAACCGACGGACGGGGAGGACGAGAAAAAAGAGAGAAGAAATGAGTGAGGCGAAAGAGCATTGAGGCGAGTGTGGGTTAAGAGAGGAGGGAAAGAAAAGAGGTAGAGGGAGGAGAGGAGAGATGGAGAACAAGAAAGAGGAGAGAGAGAGAGTGAGGGAAAAAGAGGAAAGAGAGCAGAGAGATGAAAAAAAAAAAGAGGAAAGAGAGGAGAGAGAGAGAGAAAAAAGGGAAAGAGAAACAGAGAGGGAGAGATGAAGAGGGGAATGAGAGGAGGGGAAAAGAGAGGGAAAGAAGAGAGGAGAGAGAGGGAGATGGAGAGAGAGAGGATAGATCGAGAAGAGAGAGATGAGAGAGAGAGGGAGAGAGAGGACGTGTATGAGAGGAGAGAGAGGCGGGAAGATGAGGACTGAGAAGCGCCAGGAACCGAAGAGAAGAGAAGGAGAGAGAAAAAGGAGAGAGAGGTTTTTACTGGACCTCTCCCCTCTACTTCCCCCTCGACTTCCCACGGTACCCAAGACCCTAGTGGTAATCGACTGTGCCAAGTTTGACCTGCGCCCAGAAAATAACAACAATAGTGAAGTGCCCACAGAGCAAACGATTCCAACCCTTATCGTCGAATATTCTATAACTACATGTTAATTTATATCTTGATTATACTCAAAATGTTTGTTAAAAAATCCTTATTCTCAATCACTATGTTTGTAATCATTAATATTGCTGATATTGTAGTTATCTGATGTTGACTATACAATTGTATTGTCTTACCCAGTGTAACCGACCTAACATGTGACCACAAGACCCTGTTGTAAACCAGAGGGCCAGAATTGACATTTCCCACGAAAGAACAATGTTGCCATATTCTTATGTTTAGTGAATATTGTGAACCATTCGAAATCTCAGAGAGCTGAAGTCACTCTGCCCTCAGCATCGGCTCAGGCAACACCTCAAGTTCCAGCTCTCTCTCGAGACCGCTCGCCTGCGGGCGTGGCACGAGGCCTCGCTCCTCCTTGGGCGACTCTGCCACGCCTGACCTCTGTATCCCACCTACCACACTACCGCAGAATAAAGTATTGAAGCTGTATCAACTTTAACTATGAACTCCACGACACTTCACTTCAAGACACAATCGGCAGTTCCCTACAAGAGAGAGCGAATAAGCACACCACAGTACATTACAGAGAGAGAGAGAGAAAGAGAGAAAGAGAAAGAGAAAGAGAGAGGGGGAGAGAGAGAGAGAGAGAGAGAGAGAGAGAGAGAGAGAGAGAGAGAGAGAGAGAGAGAGAGAGAGACTCAATCAATTCCTGCTACTCACTTGACTCCGCTGTGATGGTTGTGGGTCGGTCCTGCTGGAAGTAGAATTTCAGGGGGTAGATGTCGTCAAACTCCACCCGCGAGATGCAGCCGGTGAAGCCTTCAGCCATGGACTCATTCTTGCCAATGTACACGTACTGGATGTTGTTGAACTGCGCGTCGGCCGATCCTTTCACATCGAAGGTCCAGGTGATGGGCTCATAGTTGTCGACCTGTGCAGAAGCATCGGTAAATGGATTAAATCTATAATAAATTGGCAATTAACTTTCACATTACATTCATTCTCAGGATATAATTCTCCACAATAACCTTGAGAGAGAGAGCTCTAAATTACAGAAACATCTCTACTTTCTCCCTCTGAACTCAAACCCTCAAATCTCCACACCTGCATGGTGAGCTTCCTTCCCGAGTCTGTCCGGTAGAGCTTCACGTCGTGGTTCTGTCCCTCGTGGAAGGTCCTCTTGCCATACACCTTCTCGTGCCTCTCAAATCCGAAGTCAAATGTGACCTTCAAGTGACCTGAAATGATTTGGAGGAGTGAGGTCAGCTATAGTGGCCCAAGAGGATGGCACGTAGAAAGGGCGTGGAAGATCTTCACAGAGAAAGAGATTATTTTGTCTGGCTTTGCTTATATGTTCATCAGAAATGCATGTATTTCTGAAAAAAAAAAAAAATGTAATGAAAACCTGACAAACATATCTCTTGCTCTCTAAAGATATTCTTTCTCATTCATACCTTCCCTAGCTTTGTCGCATTGAACTGTGTCTCACTTAGTAAAGCTATCTGTGATCTATGGGACACAACTGTACTGAAATATTTAAATGAAATGACAAAATAAATAGTGCCACTGTAGAACCATCAAATATTGTTGAAAAATAATTTTCAAAATGTGATTCTGGCCTTTGTATCAGACATTCCTCTCACCTGAGTTGGAGATGGCAAGGGTGAGGTATTCTCCTGTAATGTTGGAGTATAAGCCCATGAGGAATCCTCGAGGGTTCGTGGTGGTGAAGCCCACGCGGATCTTCTCGGCAATAGTGGACTTGTAGGTGCCAGGAATCTCATATTTCACCATTGTATCTGTTAGCATCTTGATACCAATTTCTGTTGGGAATGGAGATAATTAGAACAATAATTCATATAGGTAATTAATAAATATATATATAAATATATATATATATATATATAAATATATATATATATATATATATAATATATATATATAATATATATATATATATATATATAAATATTATATAATATATATATTATATATAAATATATAAATATATATATATATATATAGATATATATATATATATATAAATATATTATATATAATATAATTATATACATATATATTATAGATATATATATATAAATATATATATAGATATATAAATATAAATATACTATAATATATATACTATATAGTATATAAATAGTATATTGATGGGTATATAAATATATTATCAAATATATACATATAATAATATATATATATATATAAATTATATTATATATATATATATATGTATATAGTATATATATATAACTGATATATATATATACTCTATATATAAATATATATCTACATATAAATATCTCATTATAGTATAGGTCTATATCTAATATATCTATATATATAAGATATGATATAAATAATATATATATATATATAAATATATATATATAATATATAATATATAGATATATATATAAATATATTATATATATATTAATATATATTTATATATATATATATTAATATATATAGATATATATCTTATATATATATTTTATATAAATCTATATATATATATATATATCTATATTTATATATATAAGTATATATATATATATAATATATAAATATTATTCTATATATATTTACATATATATAAATATATACAAATAAATATATACATATACAAATATATATATATATTATAAATATAAATATATATATAACATATATAAAAACTATACATATATAAATATATACATATATAAATATATATTATATATTTAAAATAAATATATATATGATATATATATATATCTATTAATATATATATATATATATATATATATATATATATAAATATATATATATGTAAAAATAATGTATTATATATATAAAATTATATTATTATATATTATCTATATATATATATATATATATATATATATATCTATATATATATATTATATAAATATTTATATATATAAATATAAATAAATATAAATATAAATAAAAATAAAAATAAATATAAAAATAATATAAATATATATATATATATACAAACGTATATACATACAGAGAGAGAGAGAGAGAGAGAGAGAGAGAGAGAGAAAGAGAGAGAGAGATAAATATCTTCATTACGTATCTCAATATTCCATCAAAGTCAAAACATTATGGACCTAATATTTCAACAAAGAAGTAATCAAGACTACACACAGACAAATAAACACTAAAAAGAGAGCTCACCATCAGCACAAATTGGTCCCTTGAAGGCGGTCCAGCGGCAATCGCACTCGTAGATGGCATAGCCCTCATGGCAGGTCCCGTTGTTCAAGCAGGGGTTGGACTGGCACTTTCCGACGCAGCCTGCATGGACCCCGTACATCCCCCCTCTCGGCTCTTCCCCTGAGGTCCTGCAGTTCCCCGTGAGGACCAGAGCGCGGATGCAGCCCACAAAGCCGTTCCGTAATCCAAAGTTGCTCCTGG